TTTTCTTGTTTTAGTTTAAAATTGTATTAATAGTTATTTACTCTAAAATGAATCTGATTATTTGTCTCAAGAAACTCGACGGTTTGAAGACACAAGACAAGACGCAGATAACAATGATTGTCATTTGGGTGACAGAGCTGTTTATGAATCAAATGGGAGCTCTTCGCAGTAGCAATACATCCTATCTTCACGATATGCAGTACACAGAATTGCAGAAACAATTTGACAGCTTCCTCACCATTCCAAAAGTCGAGGTACTTGAAAAAAATAAGAGTAGATCGAAAAGAAAAGATATATAGAGTTTCTTAACTACATATGTCATAAATGAATATATAGTGTGTGTGTGTGTGTGTGTGTGTGTGTGTGTGTGCGCGCGCGCGCGCGCGTGCGTGTGTGTGTGTGATCTAAATTAGCTGGAATTATATATATATATATAAAGAATTTTTCGATTCAGTTTTTCGTATTACAGTGCGTACATGCCGGCTCTTGTGGCTGGTTTGGACCATCCAGTGTATATAGCTCAAATAAAAAGATGAGCATTTCGAAAATTTTCCTTAATTATAAATATAAAAATAAAATTTAATCAATTTGTGATATTTTTAACATTTTTTGCTGTTTTTGACATTTTGTGTTGTTTATAACTCTAAATTTATTCCTTCAAATTAATATATATATATATATATATAATTAAGAATCATTTTATATTAAATAAATTTAATAATTGTTTATTTTCGTTCTTTTTTTAACTATCAAATTAAACTGAGTTTCATCACAAATTTAAATTGAAGAAATGCTAACTAGAACTTTGGATGCAGGAATGTATCAGGAGAAATCGCAGCACAATATACGATTTAATGGCCAGTCACGGTGACAAAGATAATCTGATACGTCTGACAATAATGCACTGCAATTATGAGGAAGTGATTCGTCAACATCTGTACAAAAATAACTATTTAGAGGCGCTAGGGGTGCTTAAAAGTCAGAATAATAAGGATCTCTTCTATCAATTCGCCGGCATACTGTTACAAGAGTTGCCACGGCCTACGGTGGCTGTCTTGATTTCGCAAGGATCCTCACTGAAGCCAGCAAAGCTTCTGCCAGCTCTGGTCTCGTGCAACAGTGACGAGAAACACGTAAGGAAGAGAGAGAGAGAGAGAGAGAGAGAGAGAGAGAGAGAGAGAATAAATTAATAATTATTATTATCTCATTATATATATATATATATGTAATTCAGAATAACAGTTAATTAAAATTTACATTAAAAAGTAATATGTAAAGATTATTATTTCTTCTAATTATACTTCAGTAACTCCGTAACTCGATAATTTCTTATTTTTTGTAGGCGAAAGAAATTATTAAATATTTGGAGTTTTGCGTATACAAACAGGGTTCACAAGAGCAAGCAATTCACAATTTTCTTTTGTCCCTGTACGCACGTTACAAGCAGGATGAAGTAATGCGATATATAAGCTCTCAAGGTAAATATATCTTGCTGTTTTTTTATTAGAAAATTAATTTACTCCAGCTATGTAATCTGTCGATTTATTATAACTTTATTGTTCAAAACGAAATAATTTATTGTTACTTCCAGGTCAAGATATCAGCATGGTGCACTACGATGTGCATTACGCGCTGCGATTGTGTCAAGAGGTAGGCTTGACAGAAGCCTGTGTGCAATTGTCGGCTTTACTCGGTCTGTGGATCACTGCTGTAGATCTTGCGCTTACAATCAGTGTAGATCTTGCCAAGCAGATTGCTGCTATGCCATCTGATCATGATGACGAACTGAGGAAAAAACTATGGTTGAAGATAGGTAAAAATCAGAACAATTTTTTTAAATCAATAATATTAACTTAAATAGAATAGAAGATAGTCGATCTTTGTATGAGACTTATACTTTGAAATCTTGTGTTATTTTAGATCAGGTCTGTCCAATTTGAGATCCGGAGCCAAAACGCAAAGCCATCGATGTAAAAAAATTCAGTGTAAGATTTCAATTTAAATTTGTGATAACGCATCTGAGTGCTTATCAATACTTTACAGTCCCTGAAATCTTACCCATATTGGATTTTTTTGCGTCGATGACTTTGCGTTTTGGCTCCGGAGCTCAAATTGGACAGGCCTGTTTTAGATTATTTTAAAATATATATTTTTGTTATATGTGCAGCGGAGCACGTGGTACGAGAAAAGGACGACATACAGCAAGCAATGGAATTTTTGCAACACTGTGATTTAGTTAGGATAGAAGATATTTTACCCTTTTTCTCCGATTTCGTCACGATTGATCATTTCAAAGAAGCTATTTGCAATTCCCTGCAGGTATAAACTCTAAAACTATTTCTGAATTTATATTTAAATTCTAAACTTTTTTTATCTAATAAAAATATTTAATTTTGTATTTTTTATATTATCTATGTGTGTTTAATAATTATTTTATAATTATATATGTACAAAAAAGATCATGAAATTTAAAAATAAGATATTTATAAGTAGATTCTAAAAAATATATTATATAAATTAAATTTATAAATATTTACTTAATAAATTCTCTTTTCTTTCCTATATATAATAGGAATACAATCAGCATATTCAAGATCTTAAGGAGGAAATGCAGGAAGCCACGAAAGCAGCAGAGCTAATACGAAAGGACATTCAAGCCTTCAGAACTAGGTACTGATAGAGCATTCTTTTACTATTTTTAATATTGCGTCTCTGCAACCTGCGTTGTAAAGATTTCCTCTTTATATAGTCCGCTATACATTGAATTATCTCTGAATGAGAAAATCAATATTTTGAAAAATCATCGACTGTGTTCAGCAAAAAACGCAACTTTACAACTGTTGTAAAATTCTTCAATATGATTGGTTTATACATTTGAATTCATAAGGGCTCAAAAGCAAGCACCAATCACATTGAAGAATTTTACAACAGTTGTAAAGCTGTTTTCTCTGCTGAATGCAGCCAATTAATGAAAATTAATTATGAATTTTTTTTCAGATGCACTTTTGTGCATGCGCGAGACACGTGTAATACATGTGAGGTGCAACTATTGCTGAGACCTTTCTATGTATTTCCCTGCGGTCATAAATTTCACAGTGATTGTTTAGTGGCAGCATTAACACCAATGCTATCCATGGATCAGAGAATAAAATTAGCAGATCTTCAGCGACAGTTTACAGCTATTTCAAATCGGCCCGAAGATACCACTTCGACGACCTCTGTATCATTGTCCACGAGAGACAAAATCAAGACTGATATCGATGAGCTGGTCGCTTCAGAGTGTCTCTACTGCGGAGAACTTATGATAGAGTAAGTTTAGTAGTTCAGCAGTTAAAGAATTCTAGTTATAAAATTCTAAAATTTAAAGCTTAGGAATGCATCACCCGTATTTCTCTGTCAAAAGGTGAATTAAAATTGAAATCTGTTAACTTTCATCACAAAATGAATAAATTACTACAGAATAGTAAAGTACAAAAAATAAATTACTACAATAAATAAATTACTACAGAATAGTAAAGTACAAAAAATAAATTACTACAGAATTACTAAATTGTACAGAAACAATTGTGTAAAATATCGTATTCTTTTAATAATAGTTTTATAATTTATTTACTTTATTTGCTGTTGTATATATTTTTCATTTGTATAATATTTCAACTTTTCAATTTTTTGAACAAATATTTTAAAATTTATACAAAGTTTTATTACATTACAGAGATTAGTTCTTCTGTAATAAATAAATAAATAAAATTTATTTCTTTATTTCGAATTTTAATTTACATTTTTGGCAAGTATTATGAGTGACATATTCTTAAAAAATTGCAATATTTTTTAGATCTTAATAAATGATTGGTATAATGATTGGTTATACTTCGCAGATCAATAGATAAACCATTTATTGAGGAAGAGGATTATGAACGTATAATGAAGGAATGGACGTAATGAAAATTTCTCACTGAAAATGTGCTAGAGTACGCTTATCTCTTTTATTCTTAAGAGATTAATTGCACTCTGTATTATACATATATATCTACATATAATTGATAATAATAATAGTTTGGTCATAAATTATCATACTCTCAACGTTAAATTTTTGAGACTTAAAATTTTATTAATTTTTTATAGCTATATAATCAATTGTTTTAAATGAATTAATTGAAAAAAATATTACGATATGTTGAACTTTCAGATTTTTCAGGCTTGCATAATAGTGAAATTATTATAATTATCTAATTATTAAGATTACAATTTGGAGCCTATATGTATAATATAATATATAATTGTATTCAAATTGTATTTATGTATATATATATAGATTAATTTTTTATTTTATAATAGAGGAAACTTAATATTTATAATATGGATCCAATCATTGTAACAAATTCGATTAGTTTAACCAACTCATTAAAATATAATCGAATAATTTATTCATATGCCAGAAATAAATGTATACATTTTGAATTGAAATCTTACTTAACAATGCCTTCCTTATAGTATGCACTGTTAGAAATGTAATCACGAGCTTCTTTTACATGTAAATGAAGTTCGTGGTTATGAACGAAATTAAAAGTAATGAATGATTTAACTGAAAATTAAGTTACAGTAATTACTTAAATGTAATAAACATGTACATTAAATTTATGAAACTTTTAATAAAATTTTATGAAGAATACATTAAATTTAATGTAATGTCATGAAATTAAGTTCAAATTGTGTAACTTAAAATTTAATAAAATTTAAGAACATTTCTAACAGTGTACATTTAACAATTTCATTTTTAAATGTTTTCGAAAAATTAGTTGCTTCACAAGTTAAATAATTATGTCAATATTCATAATCAATTTTTGTCAGCATTATTATGCTTTTGTATAAATAATGGATGGATTATTAGCTTAAATTATCAGTCTTTTATAGCAAAATGTTAAGAAATTGAAAAAAAACTAGCATTTTATCGTAAAAAAAAAAAAAAAAAAATGAAAATAGGACACTATGTTGTGCTGATAATTCGTGATGATAACTCAATATCTTATTCAAATGACTGATTATTGCTTTTTGTATTGATTAAAATTTATAAAAAATGTTTTTATATACAATCGAGATGAATATTTGTTTTCTTTTTATGTAGAAGCATGCAGATTGGACTTGATAAAATGATCAACTTCAAGCTGTTAAACGATTTCCATCTCTGCTTTTTTGTTTCTCTTGCTAACGGATTTATTGTCATAAATGTAATAACGTAAAGGTTTGTTGGCCCATTCTGGACCGCAGCTATCGATTCCAATCCTGGCGGATTTTACAATTTTAATATCCTTTAACGCACAATCGTCCTCGATCCATAAATTCTTCCATGTACAGAGAGAGTACCTGCTGTGCTGCTTGTTAAGCTGATACGCCATGCAGAGCTTTGAAGGACCATTGCATAGTTCATGTGGTTTTAGATCGACTTTCCTCGTTTTCGAAGTGTTACGCTGATAAGCCATGTGCTCCATGCCTTCTATGGGATCGACAGCTCGCACCAGCACCGCGCATCCATCACCTTATCAATAATGAGATGAATATCTTTTGATGTAAAAGAATCTATTCTTCTAAATTTCTATTCAAGAATATACTTCTAGGTTTATGTAAAATATATTTTTTCCATGTACAACAACTTTAATGCATCAGTGCGCACTAGAGACACTTCTCTAGTACGCACTGGTCCAATCGAATTCGATATAAAATTAGTTCAGATCCTAAACTTCAAACATTTTGGAATCTGCTAAACATTATGGGATTAAAAATTTATGATTTTAGATTAATGATATAATTCAAAATAATACGAAAAATCAAACATTCATAATTATAATTATTTTAATTTGATTAAATATATTTATTTAATTCTTTAACAATTAACTCTTCCTTGAGTACATATTTATTAATTTAAGGAGAACTGTACTTTTGTATTCAATATTTATTAAAATATTTTTAAAAACTTGCTAAACGCGCACGTTAAGATTAAGATTCATAATTTAATGAATTCTTTAATAATTGGACCTCTTAAGAATATATTTTTGTAGCAGGGAAAAACTTAAAATTTATTATGCACATATACTTAAATATAGAAAGTTCCGTGTACTTTTGTATTTATAAAGTCCAACTTATTGTGGAATGTAAGCGAGTTTCTCGCACTCAGAATTCTTTTCGTTGACGCTGGTGCTTCCCAACACGTAATATCGTGTCTTTATAACATAACTATCATCCGATTTAAGATTTTCAGATGGTATGGCTACTATAGTAGGAGGTCTTACAAAAGGTTGGCTCTCGAGCCACAAATTATTACATGCATAAGCGAATTTCCGGTCGAAAGAGTTTTGGTCGATCGCAAAGGCATCGCAAATCTTGAAAGGATTATTGCAAAGTTTGTATTGCTTTAGGTGCGTCGCAAGTCTCGCGGTTTGGTTTTCTCTTCTATTATCTTTCCACCGCATATTTTTTAGCAATTCCATATACTCGAGGCCCATTAGCGGTTCCACCGCTTTGATTAATACATGCGCATTCCCTTCTAAACGTTATTTAGTATTGTACTAAATAATAACACTATATAACATATCAATTAGTAATTTTGTTTTCAACTAAAAATATTTTTGAAATTGTGAAAACGCGATATTCTTTCTCTAAACAGATTTATTATAATCTTCCTGCATGTTTTTGCTATTAATCAATTAAGGGATAGTGTCCTTTGCTTTGATATTATTTTTATGGTTATGATATGCTTTTATTATTTTCAACGATTGAACGTTAGTGGAAGTAGGATGTATTTTAAGTCTTCATACATAGAATGAAATAAATTGATTTTTTACTCACCTTGGCTAGAGATATTGAAGCAATGGTACATGCCATATGTCATGTAAATATAAATAGTTCCTGGTGACATGTACATTGGCAAGTTGCGAGGTGTAATTCTGTTCTGGTAAGAATGTGAAGCCTTATCAATCGCACCTAAATATCCTTCAGTCTCTACAATTCTACCCTTGAGGATAGTTCCATTCTCGAAATATCTTACAAGTATTTTTCCTATCGGAAAAGGATAAATTTTTTTTTAACGAGTACATAGTTTGTATTGTAGCAACATAATAAAACAGAATAATAGAAAGGAAGATGTAGGATATTTTTTAAGTAACACCATATAATTTTTTAAAAATAAAAATAAATTTTTAATAAATATAATGTGCAATATTATAAAAAAATAAATTCTATGCACCTAACAACCGCTGTGCCAGCTCTTCGCAGGGAATGTCAAAGAATTCATACTGCAGTCGGCCAGAAGATAATTCCTTCTCCGATGGTGTCATAGGAGGATCTTCTAATTGACTTAATTCCAACTTCATCATTTCCAAATCCACGACTGCTCTCGGTTTTCCTTTGCTAGTATTCGTGTTTGGTTCCAACTTTTCCACCTTTCTTTTATTTCCTCCTATATAAATATTATAAATGAATGTATTTATAAAAATAAGAGTTCTTAAAAAAAAGAAAGTGTAACTGACTGATTAATCTTAGCTAACTTTCAATGTGAGTTTCCATCTTTGGCTCTTTCTGAGATTTCTTGGAGCTTTTAGAGGATACAGAAATTTGAGAATCTGTCGTGTTGTATACATTTTCAGTATCCCGATATTCTTGATTTCGTAAGGACTTGAGATTCAATTTTGGTCTTTCTGATATCACCTAATGGAAAGCAATAATACTGAAGCAAAAATATAATATTACCATTAAAAAACACCCATAATTTACAAAAAGTTGTATTGAAAAAATATATACATACATAAATAAGCTGCAATTTGTAAATTATTTATATAGTCTATGATAGAAGTCAAGTAATTCAGAAGAGTGTAACTTATTGTTATCTTTAAAAGTAAAATTAAATTAATTTAATTAATTACTTAATATATATATATATTGTTTCAATTTTATCTAATTTATTTTATTTTAAACAATAAAAATTATGTAGGCTCCCATGAAATATAGCAAATAAAAATAAAAAGCCTTTAAAAGCTGGATGTTGTTGCAATTATAATTTTAGTCGAATTATTTAAAAAAAAATGTTTTATTTTTTTAGATATATTAGTAATAAATAGGAAGAAGATATAGATATAGAAAAGTATCGTTGTCTTTTTTGATCTTTGATCTGAATATTTTTAGATTTCTGTGAAATAGTGACACTACTATTCTGTGCAAACTTTTTATGAAGAACTCTCTTTCTGATAATGGAAAAAATTAATGCTGGCGGATATCCAACTTTCAAAATAATTTTGATGACTTCATAAAAAATAATTTTGAATGAAATCTTAGATAGGCTAAAAGAAGAATTCTATTATTAGACCTATTATAATCCCTATGTGAGCAGGATAAAAATAACTAAGAAATTGATAAGTACGTTTTAATAATAAAATTGAGTTTAAGGTCAGACAATTACAAGTCTAAAAATGAAACTATTAAAGTTAAAACTATGTAATTGTAAATTATACAATTAAAGCTGAATACCTGAATTGGCCGTTCATTATTATGTAAAATGTATTTTATAACAATTGTGTAATTTAATATTTTTGACAGTTTTGCTGATAAGAACTCAAAGAACTCATTTAACCATGTACTTGTACTGTACGAAAACGTTAATAATAATATGTGAAGAACAGAGGAAAAAATATGTGAAATGGAAAGGGAGAAAAAGGTTAGTGAGGATAGGAACATTAGGAAGGAGATAACGACTGAAGAATGGGAAGATATGTATCTGATAATAATTCCGTGTCGCTTTGTTTATTCAATCCCTGTGACTGTTTTTTTTTATGTAAACCACATCAGAAATTAATTGTTCATTATACGAAGGTTCTCTGCCTAAAATCGCTACTTCGTTCCACCTGAAATCATGCCTGTGATTAATGCGATGATCTGAAATGACCGACGGAGATCCTGTTTTTTTATTGATATCGAATAGATATTTATTGACTCTAGTTTGAAATCATCGTTTGATTTGTCCAATATACGTGGTCTCACAATCTTGACACGAAATTTTATGGACCACATCTTGATTAGACATTATATCAAATTAATCTTTTAATAAATCTCTTTAAGGTATTGGGGATGGAAACAGAAAAATACTGTTTTTCGATTGATGTTTGATGTAATGCTTTGGAACGAAACTTTCTGAGATCGTTTTAACATGCGGTACTGAAAAACCGATTGTTAATATATTCTCGCTTATTTTTAGTTCGTAATTACTGAACATAGACTGGAATTTATACATGATTTTGACTGAAATAATATAAAAATTTTAGATAAAGAAAGTTTTTTAAACAAACTAATAGCTGAAATGATTTTTATACATAAACAAAAAAATGGCTTAAACGTAGACACGCAATTTTTAGATCTCTTATACACTACTTTAATTTCTAAGATATTCTCTTCCCTTTTTTCTTTAGTTTATCGAGTATCTTGTTGTATTGTTGCTTGATGCATGATCTTATTAGATCCATGATAAGCGTACTGTAAACCTCGCATAATATGCCCATTTTTTAACTGTCATGTAAGTTTTTGATTTAATTACCTTTAGTTTAATTTTTAATCTTTATTTCATTGACTCATGTTTTTATTTGGTATATTTGAAAATTTAATGGATATTATTGGACATATATAGATGCGAATTGAATATTTTATTTAGATACGTTTTATCCACAGTCATAACGACAAACAAAATAATTTTTGTAATCTTAAACACAATTTAATGATCCAATTGTGTATAATTGCTAATCAATTTTGTATATATTTTATTTATGGTTTTAATATAACTGCTGAAGAGGATTCTAACTATGAATTAAAACGCCTAATTAATTGTTATATATAATACATTATAATTGCAACAACATCCTGGCTATAATATCTAATCTTTAGTTTATTCTATGATTTAATTTTATCCTCTCTATTATAAAATCTAAATACAATACTCTTTATTTTACTACACTTGTTACAAATCATTGGCTCTCAGAGGCTTTTTATTTAATTATTTTAAATTTTTAAAACTAAAATTTTTGAAATAGAGTTGTTTATTTATTTTTTAATTGGATGGTTCTTTCTCTACTATTTTTAAAAGGAATTTGTATAAGCTCAAAACTTATAGAAAATTTTATGCTGAATTTACATGTATCATAAAACTGTTTTTCAAAATTACATTTTAAAAAAATAAAAAAATATAATAACAAGAGCTAATGAGAGTCAGACGCTGGTAATACTGCATAAGTATAATAAAAATATATATTTTATATATTATTATGTCAAATATACGATATGAACGTTTCAATTTGTAAGTCATTAGTCTTAGTATTAAAATAAAATAATTAAAGCTTCACGTTTTCTGCTGACATAATAAAAATTCTAGTGTCAAGAATTAATTAACTTCCCAGTCGATTACTGTGACGAGAAGTTAACTAATTCTTGATACCGGAATTCTCTATCATGTGCAGCAGAAGATGTAAAGCTTTAATTTTTTTTTAAAGGATGGCTCAAATTGGAGCCCAAATATTCGTATCATATGTTTAACACTATAGTAGAAATGTTGTTATCTGCATCTAACTCTCATTAGCTTTTGTCATTTGTATTTGTGCTTTTTTAAATTTTGATAGTCCTATCAATTTATTATTTTTAAAAAATAGCACTAATACATACGCTATATCTACGCTATACCTGCTGTGCTACACCATGCACACCTATTTTTCGCTACGTTAATAATTAATACATAAGTGTGATTTATATTAACTCTGTGTCACAGTATCTTATATTCAGGGTTGGATAAATTAATGTTTTTTTTAAACTAAATTAAGTTGAAGTTAATGGGTAATAAAATTAATAAAATTAAGTTAAAAGTTGAAAGAATAAAGAATTAACTTAATAAAAGTTAAGTTAAATTTAAAAAAAGTTAATTTAAAAAAAATTATTTTTGAGATCAAAATATCCTAATTTTTCTTAAAATGAGATTACTTTAAATAACACTTACAAATATAGATTTTTAGGTATTTTATATTCACATGTAAGTTACTTATACATATATAATAAGAGTCACACCACAAGGCGTTTTTATCAAAATCTTGCGAGAGAGAAGGGTATATGTTTGCATTATTTCTCTTTCTTTTTAACCTTATTTAACTTTCTTTAACTCGTCATTAACTTTTTAACTTTTTTTTAACTTTTAAGATTTGAATTAGTTACTATTCAACCCTGCTTATATTACATCTTAGTGCAAATCAAAGCACAATTGATTCGCAGCAATTATAGTTGAAAAGGATCAATTAGAACTATAATTAATCAACTGCAATAATTACTGCAAATCAACTACATATACATTGATATGCACGAAGATGTAATATACAACTTTTAAATGTTAACACAACATTCTGTCTGTATCTAATTGTAAGACTCACACTTTTTTCAAATTGAATTCTGGCTTGTTGAGCGATATATTGTTTGTCTGGACACAAATGGAGATCTACAACTTTTAATTTTGTAATGAGGACAAGATTATTGTAAATAAGTTTTATGATATTGATGGCCTATAAGTTATTGCCACAGACTTCCATAAGTCTGTAGTTATTGCTGATTGATACTGATTCTATAAGAATCAAAATGTCTAGAACTATAAATATGATTTTGTAATAGATAAAGAATTTGTTACACTATATAACAGCATGGTTATTTTATTGTCCTTTATTGATACTTATTTGAAAGAATTAAAGTCAAATTTGGCTAGTTTTAAGAAAATCGGTAGTCTCAGTTGTACAAAGTTGGCTGTTGGTCTTCACCGATAAGATCTAGGACTGTCGACTAATTCATTGTAGAATCAGCATTATGAACTTTCTACAATAAGTCATTATCTAAGTTTTAAGTGGTCTTAAGCTATAAGAAATTGACAAATCACAATTGATTATTTTTCTCACATACAACTATGATTGATTGAATAATATAACGACTTGTTACAAAACCCATTAACTTTCGTTTCCAACATCATATTTCAGAAACAACTCAACTAGTATCGAACAGTTGCGATATTTCTACTGTAAGAGAAAATAAGGAAAAAGTGCTGATTTTAAAGAAATATTTATTTTATTTATTTCTACTCTGTTAGAATAAACAAGTTGATAAACTTGTATGTATTTAGCGATTACAATACAAACAGAGAATAGAAACAAACCGACGTTTGGATCTTAGTAATTACCGTATCTTCATTATCCTTATTCTTCTCTATTTTATCCTCCTGTTGAATCCTAGTAGCTGCTCTTGTCCGTTTCATCGAATTGCCTTCTGCCACGAATTCAATCGTTTCACTACTTCCAATGGCTCGAGAAAGAATAATTTCTACGCGAGACAAGACAAAACGTCGAAATGTAAACACCACATTACACAAAGTCATGTTCAAAGACCATTTCTAACCTGTATGTACTCTCTGAATAGGTGTACAATAAATTAAAATAAAAGACGTATATTTATTTCACTTCAACTTATTGCACCAAGTCAATATGATACTAATTTCATGATTAGTATCATGGATATGTGTGTATATACATATATATGTCTAAACTTATAATATCAGCCAGAAACCTGAGAGAGGCTCTATGCCGACCTTTTTCCTGT